AGTGCGTCCTCAATGCATGCTCTGGGCCTGTGTTAGCTCGCCAGCAACTCGCTACTCGGCGCCGCGCGTTTACATACCTCGGTGTTTTCTCTGGCGTCAGCAAAAGTGGAGGGTCCAGCCCACGTCCTGATGTTTATCGGCGTCATCCTGGACACCCGCCGCGCTAACATCAGTATGCCTATGGACGAACTTGCCGAGCTTCGTGATCTCCTTCGGGCCACTCTTCACACAGCTTCAACTACCCAATGTCAACTCGAGTCTCTTCTGGGAAAGCTCCCGTTTGCTACAAGAGTGATAGCCCCTGGATGCAAATTGCAGATTGTGGTCACTTGCCAACTGGTACCGGCAGCCGTGTTACCTGATCAAGCTCTCCAAAGAGTGCCTCAAAGATCTTCGCTGATGGCCTGAGCTCCTGGATTAGCGGAACGGCCGGTCCTTCTTCCTACACCCTAAATGGACGCCGTCCCCCGACTTGCTGGTATTCACTGATGCAAGTGGTGCACTTGGCCGGTGCTCGTACAATTGCGACCGGGGATAGGGCGATGGACAGTCAATCAAGCAGAGCAGCAATCGCAAAGGGTTGTTTGCAATTGTGGCAGCCCGCAGCACCTGGGAAAACTAGCGGCATCAGCTGCGAATGCCAATCGATGGGCATTTACAGCAACTGCGAGGATATTGCTCATCAGTTGTGGCTTTGGCCTGGCGTTGTACACCGGCCACTCGTTTCGAATCAGCTGCGGGACTCGATATTCAGAGAGGCGGGAAGGTGGAAAGCGATGTCTGCCCGAGTAACATTCGGACGCCACCTGCAGCCAAAGTATGGGTGGCTGCAGCAATGGCCTCAGCCCATGATATCAAGTTCTGACAGTCTTTACCTAGCTTGCACCGCTTACAGATTGCACGGGTAGCTGCACTTTGTGATCCGCTCCGGGAGTGCCGAATAATGGAATATATGCTCTCAACTGGTTATGCATACCAATATATTTAGCATTTGGAGGCTCTACTCAGAGTCATTGGCGGCTCCAATCGGAGTCATTGGCGGCTCCATGCGGAGTCATAGGCGGCTCCATGCGGAGTCAATTTGCGGCTCCATGCGGGGTCATTCGGCGGCTCCATGCGGGGTCATTCGGCGGCTCCATGCAGAGTCATTCGGCGGCTCCATGCGAAGTCATTCGGTGGCTCCATGCGGAGTCATTTGACGGCTCCAAGCGGAGTCATTTGACGGCTCAGCTGCGAGCCATCTAGTGGCTCCAAGCAGAGCCATCATACCAGTTGCTCGAATCGGCACTCCAAGCTTAATCCAAAACTCGGCTGCTCTGTTGTGAGGTGGGGGGATGCTAACCTAGGAATGGGTTTGCTCCCCACACTGGAGCTCGCGATATTCCGTCGACTTGACACTTGACGGACTCACGACTGCCATCCAGAGTCGCCACCACTATTTCTAAACCATACGGCTAATTATTTTAGTTAGCTATCCACTTACCGGTACAGTAAAACCTGTGACTACCGACCACCCCTTGGTGCCAGCAAAAGCGGTCTTTAGTAGCAGGTGGTCTTTAGTTAGAGGTTTGCACCGCGTGACCATATGTGGATCCCATTATATGATATGTATGTCAAAATGCAGCTAATACAATTCCCCAGGACTTGCGCAATGTCAGAAAGACGGAGAGATGGAGAGAGAGAGAGAGAGAGAGAGAGAGAGAGAGAGAGAGAGAGAGAGAGAGAAGATTAATTTTTTGCAGACTTCAAATTCAGCTGCTACTTCTGAAGCCAGGAGTCAAACGTTCCCTGGGGAAGTTTCGTTTCGCGCTGGGCTTCAAATTTGTTCATGCGATCAATCATACCGACTGTCCTTGTTGTGACTTCTCGATTGCTTGAACGCGATCCTTCAGCATCAGGACCTTGTGGTGCTGCTTTGTTTCTGGATTCCTTGATGCCATCGTCGATCCGTCTGTATGACTGGGGTGACAGAGCCGCCCAGTCTTCGTTTCTCCTCCGAGTAGTAACATCGATCAGAGAGCGCTTTCGATGCGCTCTCCAAGACGGTTCCTATCATGTTTTTTCTTGACAGCGCTTGAAATTTTGACAGGTGTAGTGCAGTCCACACCAACTCCACAGCCCAAATTACCTGCATTCATTTGTTCAGCTGTAGTATCGAAAGATTCTTTTCAGGACCATGGAAAATCAGTAAAATTTCAAGAAGGAGCTTCGAGCAACATTTGATTTCCTACATCGCGGTCGCTAGTTACGGGTCAAAAATTGTGTTTGGGACAGGAAAAGGCGGTCGCTGGTCGCGTTCAGAAGGTAGTCGCTAGTCACAGTGCATTTTGAATGTGAGACCTTCCGTGCCTGGCGAAGTGGCCGGTAGTACCAGGCTGGTCGCTAGTGACGGTGGTCTTTAGTTACAGGTTTTACTGTATATCCCTTACCGAAATTGTATTCTTGAACGCAATATTCTTCTTTCTTTTTATTCTACTCCGCTCCATCAGCACTCCGCCGATGGCAGGAGATTGGCACCCACTGGGCTAGCATGCAGCAGCCAAAGCTGGGGCCTTTTCTTACTCCGTCAAACCCACTTCTTAAAACGAAACTGACGTGCATATTCACATTGCATGTTGTGAATGTCCCCATATTTGCCCCGACATCTTAGCTCGTACAGCGCTCCAGATACATCTATGCTACGGTGCGCACCGCATACTCGAATTACGGTACGGGACACATACGGGATACTGCACCAACCATGGCATGCCACGTGAACCACCCTACCAGGCACCGTGACACGCACCGAATTACAGCGGTGTGGATACTGGCTAGCGCCAGATGCTACTAAAGTACAACTGAATAGCGTCTTTTGCATAGCTACGGGAATAATCTCATATCCCAAGCATTGTAGCTCTGCTAATAGAATAATTCAGGTTACTCCCACTCCATTTCTCTAGTGCTTATTTTTCTGAAAAAATATCATCTTTGGCACCAGAATGCTGCCACCAAGAGTACATTAACCAGAGTGTGCAGCCCAAAGAGAATCATCCCACGGCAAAGTTTATTGTTTAGGGCATAGACTCGCAGTAACAGGCTCACCTTTGCTGCATCTCACACCGCTTCACACGGTCATCTACTCTATCACCATGGTAATTTCTGTTGCACATTGCTGCTTGTTTAACAAAAACGTAGAAAACACACCGAATTTCCAGGAATTACCATGGTGATACGGTACTTTAGCTTGAACCTATTGTATGACGGGTTATCTACGATTCATAATGACCCAGGGAATAACTAACAGTTAGCGACGCAATTCTTCAGAGGTGTAAAGTGACTTCAAGAATACATGTATGTTGCAGAAAACTGCGATGCATGCTGATTATTTACTGTGCCCTATTGTGCACCATATACCTGGTGGGTTACTCAGGGATACAGTAGATGCACACAAGTACCGTGCATCACGGCACAGGCTAGGTTCGCAACTAGCTGCTACAGTGTACTTGTGGTACGAACTTGCACTCTACTCGGCTCTGCATACGCAAAGAGTGCTGGTGCCGAAATGAACCAGAAGGGTGCTGAGTGGGACGCAACAACACTGACTCTGTATACCCATGTACACAGATATGGTAGGGCATGCAGTACCTCAGTGCTCTAAGATTTCACACAAACCGCGTACACGTCTACCTGGCACAACTCCTGCAACACTGGGCCAGAGCCAGATGCGTTCAAGTGCGGCTACTGTGTGTCAGGGAGTCGTAAACTTACTTTCGACTTCCTGATGTACATGATTGTACATGTACATGACCCTTGTATGAACGTACTCGCACTGGGCACTCTGGCCGCACGCATCTGCACGCGTATGCAGCCTGTCAGTGGCGGTATACCCCTCGAAGTATAAAAATATAGACTCGACAGGACTTCCAACCGGGTCGCAGGTAACCCAGTGTTCTTTTTCCAAAAGGTCCAAGTACTCACAAACAGGGCCACTGACCCGGCTCTGGAGCAGACACTGGTAATCTAGGTCCAAGTTTGCTCGATTATGTTCTGACGCTTCATGTGCTTTCATAGCCAAGGTTTCTCACTTTCTTCGCAAGCTCTTTTAGTCTTGAGAGTTGACAACTGCTTATGGTTGTGTTGGCTGAAACATGTCAGCTAATCTGACAACCGTCCAACCCCATTTTACTGGTAAGTAGTCAGCGAGTGGCTTTGATGGGGCCATACTAGAGGGAAAGTTACGCGGCATATTTGTGCTTCCTTTTTGAAAACACGTTCTCGCTCGAAGGGTTTCTAAACTTTATCCCTGCGCTCATTGATGGAGTTCATCGATGGAGTTGCCAGCGGCACTCTACAGAAGAACAATGTTGTCAAGTGTTTTATGAAAATTGTCAAACATTTTCAAATTGCTATAAGTTTGGTTAGGGCCGGGTTCCACTGCGGCTCCACAGCTCCGCTGCTCCACAGTACTTGGCTGCATGCAGCAGAGCGGCGCGGTTCCAGTGACACTCGCCATTCGCGGTACCGCGATCGTGCTCGACGTTTTTGATGACATTTAGCCCGCCTGCGCGCGCGTGAAATCCTCGTGTTCTGCCGGGCCTGTGCAACGAATTAAAACTCCCCCTTATAAAACAATTAATTAAGTGCGGGAAACAATGCAAGCCGTGACCGCCGCTTGCATTTTTTGTATCAAGCAGCGAAGCGAAAGCTGGTGATGAGCCGCGGCCTCGCTGGACCAGCTCGTAATGATGACGTTTCATGCCGTGGATGTGCGGCGAAGCGGCAGTGGAACCCAGCCCTTAGGCAAAGGAAATTTGTCATAAATTTGTTTATGCTGCATAGATGGAGAGCTGCACACTCTGGCTTATGGACTCTACAGTGTAGTCGTACTGCTAGTGTACTGGCATTGGACTATCACATGCAGTATACTGTCTGGCAGGAGGATTCAGGAGGGAATATTAGGACTGACAGAAGACACGAAAAACGAGAACATTATTATGGCTAAGAATTGCCCTAAGACTTACCGCTTCTCAGTGCTCCATACCAGGAAGTAGTACAATACCTACTCCTTGCTCCATACGAGTGTTTTCTTCTCATTCTCTGCATCCTTTACCCCAGGAGTCTCGTCCATTTAGCGGCTCAAATGCTTGAGCTCCGGATAGCGGAAAATAGCTCGTCGTCCATTAGCGGCTCTAATAGTACCTGGTCTGAAGTGTCGCAGTCTAGCAACTATGATTTTTTCCAGGAGGGTAAGGGTTGCAAACCCAAAGAGACCCTAAGCTTCGTCTATCAAACATAACAATTGCCCTAAAAAATGGAAGAGGAAAAGAGTGAGCGAGCTGGTCTGAGCGCGCTACTTTTCAAAAAATAGAAGCTGAAAGCCATCAAAGTCAAAGCATTCTGGCTAGCGCGTTTGTAGTATGTCAAGAGCGCTAGCGCGCTAGTCGCAGCAAACTCTCGCAGGCCAGAGTTGGCGCTATTTGTGCTGTTTGCCGCACGCGGCAGCTGGATGGATCACGTGATCCAAGCTGACAAATAAGGTCCGATGGTTCAGCTACATTGAGCCACAAGCGTCAACAACAGGTGCTTCACTAGTCCACTCCAGGCATGTTCGTTTCATCAAAACACTGCTTACATTCGACGTATCTTTCTTTCTGTTCTTATGATGAAGTTTTCAGCATGTATTGGTAATTTTCCTTATTCAATCAAGAGTTATGGACCTTGCTTCGATGGAAACTCGCGAAAGAAAAGCGAAGCCCCGCGTCCTTGCGGAGTCGCAGCCAGCAGCGCAAGTGGATGATGGACGCACAGTTTTACGTCTTCCCAGTCGACAAACGATTTTGACGAAGATCTCTGAGAGCGAGAACGAAAGGCTGTGGAGATCTTGATTTGAGTCAACAGTTTGGAAGGAGATTTCGTCAATAATATCCTTGAACTGACTTGCATCGCGCGTGCCTGACTCAAATTTGGAGACAAAACGGATTTCTTGAACGTCATCGCCAATCCAGGAGCGGGCCAGAGCTGGAGATCGATCTCTCTGTAGCTACTCTCCACTGAAGAAAGAGAGAATAATGTATTGTGAACTGCATGCAAAGCAACTCTCTCTCTCACTTCGAAATAAGGACATAGTCACTGTACTGTAAACTGCCCGTCGATCGACGTGTATGCACGATAACCAATCCAGTAGCCACACTTTTCCTTTGGCAAGATTGCCCGAAAAAAGGTGGTTTCCAGACACCAAAAAACTCATACGGTGCACGCGCCTGAAACACGTACCGTCACCTCCTCGCACACCGACCACCCAGGATTCGTGAAATCATCTGTCATGCAGGCAAAGTAAAAATAATTGTAGCGTCTCCTTGCACGACGTTGTTGCCTGGCCTGGTGCTCCTCGCAACTTGGACGCAAACCAGTCGGTGACCCATGGCGTCCGACGAGCAGAAGTTGCCAGCTTCTGTCCGAACTGCCCGTGATTTGCTGGCTAAGGCAGTTGAGAAGGCTGGTATTCAGATTAGCGGTGGACTTGCCAGCGATGCCAAAATCCGATTGAAAGACATTTTTGTCAACTTGACGTTGCTGACAAAGGACGAACTTTCCAAGCTTTTCAGTAACGTGTCATCGTCCTTTTCGTCTGGTTCTGAACGAGCACGCCAGTTGGAATTGCTCTCCGAGGCTCAGCCACAAGGGGTCGCTACGGCCGAGCGTGGCATTGAACTGGAAGCTCTGTTCTCCGCTACCAGCGAGCGGTCTTGCAATCAAGGGGCGGCGCCACGCCCGGGCTGTGACCATGAGGTAGCTGATTCTGGTTTACTGGCGCGTGCCAAAGAACCCGTGGAAGAGAACAAGAAGAATGTCCTAGCGTTTGGAAGCGCAGGCTGTGGCAAATCCACGATCTTTCTGATCATGCTGGAATACCTCTGGTCTAAAGGTGAGCTGTGGCGTGGAAAGTTTGATCTGGTACTGGCAGTGGAATTACGGCGTGCTGAGGTGCAAGCTGTTAAGAGCTTGTGCGACTTGCTGGCACGTCGATTCTCCAGTCTGGATGTGGAGACAGATGAGCTATTGGAGATGTCCCGGTTCTTTCGCAGCAACCAGTCCCGTCTTTGCATTGTGCTAGACGGGCTGGATGAGTGCAAGTTGGACAACTGCAGTGAATACATGCGTGATCTACTGTTGAGAAGGCGTAGTGGTGATATGCATGTGGTGGTGACGTCTCGACCATGTACTGATGCTCATACCCTGTCGCAATGTGGAGAGTATCAACAGCAAGTGGAGGTGGTTGGATTCTCACCAGACAACGTTGAAACGTACGTGAAGAAAGTGGTGGGCGGTGTGAAAGGCGAGGCTATGCTGGAGCAGCTCCGCTCACAAGAGGGCACAATGTCGCTAATGGGCACACCTCTGTTTGCTGCGCTGGCTTGTGAATTGTTCATGGACGACAGAGACGGTAGTAAATTGCCGGAATCTAGTACAGGACTGTACGAGTCGCTTGTTCGCCGTGTCATGGAACGACGTGCGGGAAAACGCTACAAGACACTTTCCGCCATCAAGACGGACGAGGTAGAAGTGCTGAAGGAGCTATCTGGTTTTGCACTATCTATGTTAGCTCAGCAAAAGATGGTGTTCAACGAGGAGGATGTCATTTCGGCACAACTCAGCGCGCCTGCAATTGAATTAGGATTGCTGATGGCTTACAAGAGCACCAGTTCAACAGAAGACCGGCAATATCGATTTGCTCACTTGTCCATTCAGGAGTTCTTGGCGGCCTGGTACGTGTCTAGCGAGATGCTGAACGACGAGAACGACGCTGCGTGGCTGGTGAGGAGAGTCGGCCATTACAGCGGTCACATGACCATGTTCTGGCGTTTCCTGATCGCGCTCACACCGCCAAAGCCCGCAGTCGCCATCATGGAGCATCTGTGGCGGATAATCTGCGACGGCGACCGCACACAACGTGCATGCAGCCAGACTGATACACGCCTGCTCGACGACATTGTGAGCCGTTCTCAGCCAACCAAGCAAAGCAACGACGTGGACCGTATCCATGGGGTGCTGAAATCGGCGCTGTCAGTTGAAAAGATGAAAGAGCTTGCCGGTCAGCTGCTGGTTGGCACCGCCGGGCAAGGACGTGGTCGTCAGCGTGTCGACAATGCTCTGCCACGAGGCAGGGAGTTGACGGACGACTTGTACCTGGATACTCTTGTAAGCGTATGGAAGAACGAGGCAGCGGAGGCGAGTGCAGAGGTGTTCCTGTCGGCTGTACGTAAAGTGGATCCCGCGACCGCATCGCATTGTGAGCAGCATGCGATGACAAGCGCAACATCGGAGATATCGACACCATCGCCATCTGGAGCTGCCCTGGCTGCTACTGCTGCATCTAAACGGCCTCCTGCGAATGACGAGGGAGAAATTCGTTGCCTAGCTGATTTGTTAGTAGCTTATCTAGAGCACTGCCAGTATCAAGGTACGTCATCTTGTAATGGCCATTGTTCATTCTTCTCTCAGGTCTTTTCTCTGATGTTTCGTGGTGTGCCACTCAGCCTGTTGGATTGCACTGCCATTGCTCATTTCCTCACAACCCATTTTTGTGTGGACGTGCAGGAAGTGTGCCTTTATTGGTGCAGCTTACCCAGCACTGCTATGCGCTGCATTCTTAATGGCTTGGCACACTACACACATGTACGTGTGCTCTCTTTGTCTCTGAATAACTGTACCGATGGTAATGTCTTTTCATCAGCCATTTTGTCCGCATCGTCCAGCCTGGAGGAAGTGTCTTTAGATCACAATAAAGTCGGCATTGACGGCTTAGCTTTGATCTGCCGAGCGCTGAGTTCATGTAGGAAGTTGCGGTTTGTTGTACTTTCCTGGTTGTGCACTGGTGAGCACGGTGCTGATGTGCCGCTCACGACCATTCTAGAAATTCTCCAGTCTAACAGGAACCTAGAACGACTGTATGTCTACGGGTATTCCTTCACGTATGGTCCTAGATCGGAGGAACGACGTGTACTAGCCCAGTTCGTACAGGCTGTTCGCCAGTGTAGCCAGCTTAAGGCGCTGCTTTTCTCCAGTGTTTAATAGCAGGTTGGTGTCCGAGCTACAGCCGCTGGTAGATGATCCTGAATGTGCTCTCCTGAAGATTGGATTCGCCTGATTGTAACTATGACAATGTACAGTTGCCATGGTTATAGCCAGCACCAGCCCCGGCACAGATTCTCTTTGGCAGTGAGCACTGTGTTCTATTCTTGTACAAAACTTGATTTTTCAGCCGCTACCGTTAACTGCTTGCCTATAACGGGGCAGTGCAAAGCCCATTTTCCTCTTGCCCAGGCCAAACACTGAGTTGACCGTATGAGCTTTCCTTGCCAGTGGTGCCTGTCTATATAGCAGATAATTTTCAAAAACTTTTCAATCTTTTCTCAATTCTTGAGCGCTGCCATGCTGATAACACTGCCTGCAGTACAAAAATATTAATTTGAGTGTCTTGTGCTGACACGATGTTTTCACTCCATTTCCTTGTCTCTTCCTTGTTTCCTGAATTACACTGACAGTTGGCTGTGTGCAGGGCACCGGTATGCAGACTGTATGTTTGTTTGTGAAGAACACGTGGAGTAATTCACATGAATGTCAATCACTGGCATTGTGCATGGGTTAAAGGGGAAGTGCATCGATTTTTCAAGTAGGGCTCAGATGAAAGACAATTGGATATCGGTTCCGATGGTATATCTCTCGCTTGCGTACGGCAAGGGAAACTTGCCATATCGCCGATTTCCTGATCCCGTTTCCATGGCGACTACAGGTGATGACGCACATTCTGCTTAGCTCCGTGAGAGAGAAGGTCGATCACTGAAGAATTGACAATAGACCGATCCCCTTATTATACTGGGTTCGAGCACGGGGGCAACCTCACTCGCGATCGAGCTAGTTTTTGAACGTGACAGCATCTTTGACAGTGTGTTTCAGGTTTGTTTTGGAATGTCTTCTGCTTAGTTCAAGTAGTTTGCGATGGCTTCGAGCGGTGCTAAACCTCCTGCTGGTAGGAGCAGAGTCTCCGAGAGAGACATGGACTGTGATGCCGCTGCAGGATTTTTTCAAGGCGCGGGAGGGAATGATCTCGGGCCACAAACTCCAGAGGTGAGTTTTTTTGTTGTTGAAATATTCGAATCGCGAATCGTGTTGTGAGATTTATTTTGTGCCTAGGCTACAGCAGACCATATTATTGCTTTCTCCTTGCGATCGGTGCTGAAGATAATAGTAACCTTTTTCTGGTCTGTCTTTTCCTCTCCAGAGCCATCTTCTATGAAGGCAACCGTGGTGCAGCCAAGTCACCAAGTCACGATCAGCAGCCCTGAAGTGGAAAAATCGATTTTCCAACGATCTGGTTGGACATCAGCCACTAAAGTACTTCTGATTTGCCTGTAGTGACAACAGCAGCCATCCTTGGACACCTTGCAAAGACAGAAAAAGCCACTGGTGGAAGCGACTGCTATGAGGTGACGATAGCAGTGCAGTGGTGATCGCTGTTTTGTCAAGTCGAAGGGCTAGCCAACCCAGAGGAAGCATAAAAAACGATGAGCAGTGCGTGGTATTTGTTGAGCGTGCAGAGCTAGAGGAGGACAGTGCAAACACATGGACGGAGTGGATGGTGTTTGAAGAACAGTGTGCTGTGTGCCGGCTGGTGGTGATGGTGGTCTTTGTCAGCATGTATTCGTGCTGCTTCTTGTGCTGGAACACTTCTCGCCCAGGAAGGCAGATTGCGTGATCCCTGGCCCTCAGTTGGCAATGGGGCATTTGTTCCAGGAACATTACCCCAGAGCCAATGATGAGTCGTACCTTTGAAAAGTCGAAGCTTGCTGTTAATCGCAAGCGTAGCGCAGTGGATTCCTCCCTCTTCGAAGCACGAGGGCCAAAGCTTGCCGCTGTCTGCAGCAAAGTGTGTGTGCGGTTCTTTCGAACCTATGAATATACCCCCCTGCATGTTCAGAGTGAACTATTTTCTAGTATATTTAACATCCTCAACCCGCCACCACCATGCACTCTTGGCCGAACTAATGCACGAAGCATAAACACACCAGCACAGCAAGGACACTTCCGTTGACAGATATTGTTTACGCCTCTAGACCGCTGTTTCTTTTCTTCGAGCTCATCGTTAGAGGAGGATAGCAGCAGGATACTAATGATGATATAATATAAGATGATAGACGGTTTATGGTCCGATATTGATGATTGAAGATCTAAGAAAGCAATGACAGTGATTGCGAAA